CTTTCCCTCCCTGCTCATTTCTGAAAGTTCATCGTTTCTTGTAAGCTTGGCTGTGAGTAGGGGGAAGTGGAACCTCAGATTTTAGAGAACTGAGCAATTAGAAACTGAGCCCAAAAGGGGAGAAGTTAGTCAATGTGAAGTGAGACATCAAAGCTGAACTACTGCTGACATTTTCATTAGCTCTTCTCTCTTTTGGCTGACAGCCTGCTTTCCAAGAGGAGCAGAAAGCTTCAATTTTTTCTAAGACCTTTCAGCTTCATTCCCATCATTGTATCAACCTGAGTTTATGTATTTTACCTGTTTTTATGTTTGCTTTCTTTTTAAATATTTTCCTTGTTTTGTTAGTTTATATGGATTTTATTTATGTCTACATAATATTTCATTCAGTATATATCATTGACCAGGAGAAGTAACTGAGTATGTGACAAGTACTTTATCACTTACAATGCTTTGATCTATTAATTCCTAATATAACTGTGTTGATTTTGGTTACAGTGGAGCCGATCTAATTGTAAATAAATAAAGCTGCATGTTGCAATGTTGGTTCCAGACCTGATCATGGGTTAATATCAACTTGTGCTCCTTTTAACCTGTTAGCAAGATTCCATAGTGGTATCTTTCAGTAATGATGGAGACAGCCATGGGTATCCTACATAGACAGCTATAGGTATCCTACAACCTTTTGAGGGTAATTCCATCTTCATAGCAGCCACTGGAAGTGTAGTTGTGAGTCAAGTAGGTTTGATAGCATGGGAGTTTTGATTTAAGATGGTGACTCCTGAAAAGGACAAAAACAAATTTCTACAAAAGGTTCCTGGACCTGAATTTTGGTACATCTCATAATATTACGAATATTCCCTTTTCTTCCAGTATGTAGGTTTTGTTCTTATCCGTACATATAAATACATTACAGTACTTTTTTTTTATGGTGGTCTCTTAAACAGTCATAATGAACTTATATAGTGGGTGAAAAGTTTTTGTCAACCTTTTTGTTAATAAGGAAGTTTTAAATTTTAGGCTGGGGTCAGAGAAAGAGGAGAAGGAAGCTAGGATTGCAGCCCAAAGCTGACAAGGACTGACTAAAAATACTTGACCTTGCTATGTGCAAATGGTCTTTTAGCAGATTTAGCCTCCCTTGCTACCAAAGTCAGCCTCAGTTTTCATAGCCTATAGAAATAATTATTCCATTTATTGTGAGGTCATCCCTCTCTAATGTAAACTGTAAAATTTTTTCTCATCTTTAACTTACTTAGAAAAACTCCCTTTCAAAACTAGTAAATGTGTATAAATGTGTAGAGTGCTTTTTACTTGCGCATGAAACAGCTGACCCAACTGTTTGTTCGCTTCTGCTTTTTTCCCATTAAGCCACTTCTACCCAGGCAGGCTTTCAGTAGGTGTTTTGTTGCAATAAGCAATGTGTAAATGTCTTGGCTGGCCTCCATCCTTGGCAGCATTGCCATTTACACCACACTTAGCAAGTGCTAACAGCCTGGCCTCTGCTTGCTCCACAGGTAAATCACAGGGTGCTGGTTTGCTACTCCAGGAACTTGCACAAAAAGATAAAATGGGTATTTCATGGACTGAGTGGGCAGGTGGGAATTAGCCCTGGTCTTTCTTGCCCTCAGTGGTGGATGGCTATCAAGTCTGGGGGAGCTGATACCTTTCAAGTGTTTTGGAAATGGTGACATCTGAGGAGACTGTGTTAAGAGCCATGAAGTGAAAGCTGGCTTAAAAGCTGGGGCAAGGGCTTGATGGTAAACTTCAGGCCACCTGGTCAAGGTTCTCATGGGCATTTTTCAGGTGCTGTTGTGCATATAGACCTAAAGGGTGAATGGGGAACAAGAGAACTTAAATCTCTCTGACTTCACTGGTAGCTGGTGAATGACCACCATTCTGGAAGATTGGGCACTCTCTTGCCTTAAATGTCTGCACACAAACTTAGAAGTCTGTTCCCCCCCCCCCAATCTTATTGTCACCATAAAAAATCATCTGCTAGCTCACAGAATTGAGAGCTTTGAACAAGTAGCTGAAATAAGCCAGTATTTTGCATGGAAGTTAAAATGCCGCAAAAAGGAAAAAGATTTGTTGTATGGAGAGCAGTGAGACAAATGCCAGGCTTACTGGCATAGGAGACTGCAGAAGTTGATGGAAAGATCCAGTGGTCCAAGTCTTCCCTTGTCATGTGTAAATGATACCGAGTTATATAGGCAAGAGAAGTAAATGTGAGAGGAATAATCGTCTGATGACATTTTCATCGTTAGAAAACTTATATTTGGTAAGGATGCTTAAGGGATCTCCTTACCTGCGGTGCAGTACTTCCACATTGTTTTTATTTCACAACATGAATAAAAGGCTTTGGGGTAAATGTTTCATCACTGTCTGTGGACTGGAAGAGGATCTCAGTCTCTCAACTAGTCTACAGTGTATTTATACTAACTGCATTAGAACTTACTTGGTGCCACCTTTTTTCCCCCCACTATTTTTACATCCTAACAACTTTTTATCTAGCTTGTTCTGAGACTATATGCAAATGACTGGAAAGTCCCAGTCATTTGTACAGTCTAGTGAAGTGAATGAGAAATATCTAAACAATCAAGTTGAAAGTCAGTCTCCCTAACTTATGTTCAGTACATTCCACTTACAAAAGAAAAAAGCCCTGCCCTTCTGATCCCTCCTCCACCCTCCTCATTTCCCTCACCTCCCCCCCCCAGATTGCTTGGAAAAATTGGACAGCAATAAAAGTCAGATTAGAATGGAAACCGCCACTTGCTATAAAGGAAAACTCCGATTACACTTTGTCTGTCAGAGGAAAACTGCAAATAAAATATAAAATGAGAGCTTATACAACTGCATAGTCATCATCATGCTTGTATATTTTTTTGCTGTTATTCGAAACTTCTGTACTAGAAAATACCTTGTCCACTGTGCACTTACATTGTACCTGCTCCAACTGAGTTCTGCTTATTTTACACCACCAAGGAACCTAAGAATACAGTCACTGAATAACTAAGTACATGAATTATATTTGTCACAGCAGTTACTGGATCTACGTTATCTTTAGGACAGGTCCTTACATTCCTCTGTGACAGCAGCATCCCGGCTGGGTCAAGGAACCTGCAGGATGCTCAGGCTTTCATTGGTGCTTGTAACCAAATTACAAAGCGCAAAAATCAGTGCAGTGATACAGCTAGGAAAAATGAATAATGCAATACCCAGACATCTCTAAAGCTGTGTGTTTGCCCTGGGATGTCTGCCTGTCTTGGGAAGGGGCACAACTCCTGTCTTACTCATTGCACAAGATACTGCCTAAAAGAAGGTGGTGCCTAGAGATCGTTCTGCAGTACAGTGTCACTGGTCCTGCTTGTTACTAATTCAGCACTTCAGGTCCTTTAAAAATAACCTTCTGTCACAGTCATTTAGTCAGCAGTAATTCTATCTGCTTGCTGGGAAACATCCTTTTAACTCAATCTTAGCTTAATTGGGGATTTGCAAGGTAGATGATAACTTCAAATAATGTCAATTACTCAAAAGCCATTCAATGTAGGGGTCTGATCCCAGAAAACATGCAATGTTGTTTCCTCTTATTGCAAAACATTAGCCACAGTATTGATTACCTTTTTCCTTCATCACTCCAAGTGACGAGAAATTTACTTTGTCACAACCACTGAGCTTCTAAAGAAAGTGTTGTGCATAAGGGTGGTCTTCAGTGGCAACGTCCCTCTTGGAGAAGGTTGGTGCACAGCCGCTCTCACTCAACGTGTTGGGATGGGGAATGTGACAGCCCTTGAGCACAGTGCCTGCTCAGATCGGTACAGGTGTAAGCAGCAGTGTGTGCTCACCAGCATGAGTAACATGGGTAACATTGGCTCTGTGAAAAGCTGCTTTCCCAGCAGCTGCAAGCAGCTTCGCTTCGTGTATCCTGACACACCAAGTAGCAAAACTTTTTGTTTAGCTTCAGTGGGAGGTTTATCTCTCATTACAAGTCTGTCATATCCCATCCAGTCTAATAATATTACTGTTTTTCCTTCTTTCTTACACATAGCTGTCCCTGGACCTGTATCACACTGAGGATGATATCTACAAGCTCTCGCTGGTGCTGGAACCAAGGAACTCCAAATCTGTAGGTCATCTTCTACTGCGTTTTCACATATTGCTTATTCTGTCTGCATGCAATTGATTACATTTTTAAATGACAGTTAATGAATTTTCTTATTCATATCCACATAAAGCCTTTTAGTGTGCATGCTTGCATAGTAAAAACAGTCACTATTTGTAGGCTTTAGTGCATAATAGGAGCAGTAAATAGTGAAACGTGCTGGACTTCATTGCTAATTACTTTTCAACAAAACCTCTGTAAGTCCTGGAAAAACATAGTTCTACTTTATGTGAAGATATCCTTCATCAGTTTATATCAATTATTTATTGTGTGACCCTTACTTCATCTTCTGGATGCTGGTGCTGTTATAAAAAACGACAGTGAGTTCAAAGATTCATTTTAGGTAATATGCAGAATTGACTGTATCTTGGTCTCTCAAGCACTGTTTAAACACCTCAGAATAGATTTTCGTTTTTTAGTTTGTGCAACTAAAGATAATGTTGCACTGATGCATTTTTTAATTATGCTTTGCAAGTCTGAGGATACAGATAAATCTCCTAATTACTAAATGACTTTTCATCTGAAGTATTACTATCTCTTCTGTTGCCAGAGTTTAGGGACTCCTCTTCCCCCTGAGCATCTCAGCAGCACATTAGCACCCCTATTACCTATCATATCAAGCACGTGATGCTCTCAGGCTGATCCCTCTCAAGTCAGCAGAAAATAAGTGTGGGTGTAAGTGCTTAGCAGCATGTGAGAGCAGAGTCCAGTAGCCTGGGGTGATTCATTGCATTATTTTTTAATGGTTTTGAAATATTCTTAAAAGCAAATAAAGAAGAAAACCTCTTTAATTTCCAAGTATAGAGCTTCTCTGGGTTTTAAGATAGTTTGTCAGTCTTAGAGACCAGTTTGGGGACTATGTATGTGTGCTTTCAATGGGGAATGTTATTGAATATTTCCATAGTCAACACTAACTCAGTTGGAACACCTGGAATTTCATCACCCAGTCTCCAGTCCTTGCTGGATGAGATTTGACCACAACAGTTCCCGTTCATTGCAGTAATTCTGACTCCCTCATCCTTCCATTACTGCCAGCAAAGTTGAATTATTACAGCTCTATGTTGGGGAAGGACCAGTGGGCCACTACTGTAAATGAAGAAAATTACCGTGTTGCTGCTTTGATCTCCAGCCTGTGCTTTAAGAAGGACAAAAGCAATATAAACAGTGCTGTGAACTTCAACAACACCCAGAAATTGTAGGAGACTTCTGCATGATGATCAGTGAATAACCAGTGGCATTGAGCTGTTGTAGCACCCTGATGGGCAGAAAGCTACAGCTGAATCGACACAAGCCAGACTATTTGAAGTTTACTTCTCTTTGACAGACTGCCAAAGCACACAAGATACTCTAGAGGGGAAAGAATCTGTAGAGCTTTTGTATGTGGAAAAATTTGTCAAAGGCAATGTGACAGTGTAGTTATATCATTCCAACTGCTTCTTGATTTATTTATTGTTGTACTGGTACAACTCCCATGCGGGTGCATTGCAGAGGAAGTGCCTCACGCTGCAGCAGTCATTTTTGAGGCAGAAGTGGAGCTGATCAGTTGGCATATGAACCTGGTGTCAATGGGGACTTGAGCAAGGCTTTCATTCTGTTAAACCGGGAAGAGACTCTTCAGACAGTGTAGCAGCCTAAAAAAAATACTGAAGACGGACCGCCAGTTGTAGTATAGCATCTCTTTGTCACACTTTCTTCTTTTTCGTGAGCATTAGTTATCTTCTTGTTGGTACTAGTACAGCTATTGGCTAGAAGGCAACTCTGCCTGGTACAGTTATGCCACTAAAGACACACTTACATTCATTTTGTTGCTTTTGAGTAGAATTTATTTCAATGCCAAAATATGCAGGTGTTTGCATCCACCTGAAAATGCTTTTTCAGTCTATGCTACCATTACCCCTGTGCCAGTGAAACAGGCAGGAGATGCAGGCTGAATCACAAACAGCATGACCAGATACAGTATTTCTGAACATTCAATAAATTCAGCTAGTTAGTCTCTGGACACTGGTTAGTACCTTTCCTCATAGCATGCATTTCAAATATATAAATAAAATTATGGTTGTTCATACAAGTCTATGACTGAAATAGGAGGAACCAACACTTCTCTTTGGCTAGTGGACAGTAACATAAAGTTTTCATTGCAACTTGTCAAAAAACATAAAAATTGAATGAGGCTTCAAATGAAACAGCCCAGAAAAAAGAGAGATGCTCCAGTGGCTTCAGTCTTTTTCTGCTATTGTGCACTCGAGTTAAAAGCTCACTGTGAGGATTTGCTACTCCGGCACCACTCTGATGCTTTGATACTGATGCTTTGAGTCTCTTTAGACTAGGATTTTTTTTTAAATAAGGCGCATTTCAAATTTCTTCTCTAACCATAGCTGTAAGAATACCACAACACTGGCATGTTGCGTGTTATCATGAAACATGTAATCTTTAAAAGACTGCTGCACTTCTGCATATTTTAGAGCAAAACCACTTGCCAGGCTGTTGGTCCATCACTGTGGTGAGATTAATTTTAGGATTCAAACATTCTGTAAATGCTTTTGACATTTAGAGCTGGATGTCCAAGTTCATAGTATTTCTTGTCGATACTGAATTCTGTGGATAGAGGGATTGTTTCTTCCAAAACTTACTTGTGCAGATTTGTGTGATGAGTCAAGAGCCATTGAGGAACTGATAAAGCTGTTCTGGCAATTGAATAAGGAAAAGCCAAATTAATAAAGCAACCCCCTAACACATCTTTCTCTTTTTTTTCTTACCAAACACAGTATGACCTTGTGACCATTTCATCCCAATACCTTATACACAATAGTAACTGTAACATTTTTACATGGCTTAATTATTTCCCTCTCAACTCACACCAATTTAAAGCAAGACACCAGACTCAGATTTCTTGCTCATCAGCTAGTACAGAAACCTTCTGAGGCTGTGGTTTATCTTCCTTCTATTATAAGGCATGCTGAATTTTTTCTCCTTGACACTGGTTCACCTTCTAGGTGTCCAGTGGCAGATGCAGGAGAAGGCCAGTATGCCTTGCAGCATTTTTCATGCTAACTGGTGATTTTTGAAGCCTTACCTGAAACTAAGTTTAAATTTGTCCTATATTTTCTACTTGAACAAGGTGAGCTGCATGCCAGAGCTTCTCCCAAAGCACCATAGTGGTGTGGAGGAAATTGGGTTGCGTGCTCTGTGCATCAAGTGAGCTGTCAGCTACCGTTTTGACAAGACTGAGCTGTTTGCAAAATAAAATAGACTGGCTGGTGTTATCTGCAGAGCAAGTCAAAGGTTAGCTCTGCTGCTCAGGCTGCCTCGATAAATTAAGCTGTGCATCCTGGCACAGCTCAGCTGGAAAGCTGTGGGATTGCTGAGCACAATTCTGCCCTCACATCTGCATCATGGTCTCTTCTTGGTGCCTCACAGAGCACTTAACTTACTCAGGCCATCAGAGCCCCTCACGTGGCTCCTGAGCACGGTTCCTCCAGCTGGGAGCTAGGGCCAAGCTGCATTGTGGTGATAAGTTCCTCGAGGGCTGTATCGGGAAAGAGAAAAGCATGGGTTTGGGCTTACTTATTTCTGGTGCCCACTGTGTCCAGAGACCCCTCTTCCTCCCCACTTTCTCTGAGTCTCATTGCAACACCTTGCCTGACATTGTGCTAAATGCATTTTCACAGCACAGAGACTCCAGTAGTTTGTGGTTGTAGCTCTGATGTACAGCGCTTCTTTTAACAGGAAAATAAACTTTGTCATTCAGACTTGAAAATCTTTGTGTTCTGATCCATCTTTCAGCAGCCTACCTCCCCAACAACCCCTAACAAGCCAGTAGTGCCACTGGAGTGGGCATCTGGAGTGGTACCAAAACCTGACCCTACAGTCATTAACAAGCACATACGAAAGCTGGTGGACGTAAGTATTTCGAAGAATAATTTGGCTGAAGAGAACAATAGCTTTGACGTTGCCATCACTATAATTAATTTCAAGCTTTTCAAGAGATTGTTATGGTTGGGATGAATTTCAGACCCCAATAAAAAAAATGTGTGCTTTTACTGATACTTTCAAAAATATTTATCTTATTCCTGCAGTCAGCGGTGGGATTAGTAAGCGGGTTTCTGGATGCAAAGGAGCAAACTTTCAGGAGCATCCAAAGCCTGGCTGCTGTTCAATAGGTTTGATAAGCAAATATAAATTGAATGAGCAAAGCTGAGTTTTTGCAGCTCTAGCTACCTAGTTTATGTCTGGAAATAAAAATACTCAAAAACAAGGACTCACGCATTACTAGGTCCAGAGAAAGTTTCCGGAGACCCTGTTTCTGGTTTTCAACTTGCTGTCATTTGACTGTCCAGAGCATACCACATGTGGTAAAGGTAGCACTGTCTTGGTATCACTTGAAAATGTAGGCATGAGGTCATGAATAATTATAGTTGGGATCTTCCAGCTTCAGTTTGGAAGGTGACGCATTGGGTAATGCAAACAAACCAAACCCTGCCAGGTTCCTTTGGAGAGACAGAGCCCTGTTGTGCTGGTGTGTGAGGGACTTTCATTGATGTGAGCAGCATGCAGAGGAACCAGGAATGTGTTGTAGATGATGAAGCAAGATTTCCTTCTGCTTCTTACAAATTAATAACTAAGTCTGGGAGGAACTATTAAATTCTGACCTTGTCTGTGTTACAGGACATTAATTTGGGTTATGTTGTTAAGATAATTTAAACAAAGTCTTCAGACTTCAAACATATCTTGTGGTTTACTTTTTGTACGTGCTCTTTTTTTAGCAAAAGTTTCATTTTTCTCTTGATGTGAGATGCCAGAACTGCACGTGCTGTTCCTGTATTGCTTTTGTCAGTACCATATGTGTTGATAAAAATTACTCCACATCCAAAACTCTCTTTGATAGCTTGTTTAAATAGGAAGTCTGTCACAACTCCTTAATCTTTCCAGAATCTGCTGAGTGGGGAGTTGTTCTTGTTCCTGAGGGTGGAGAAGATGCAGTCCCCTATTCCACAATTTCGGCCTGGTTCAGCACGTATGATCTTGAGTTTCACAGGATTAAAACATGGTTTGGGGCTGTTATGGATACAGTTTACCAAGAAGCCCACACCACTCTGTACGACTGTCTTTGTTTTGCCAATCTGTCATTTACTAGCTGCTTCGAGTTGCATTTTAATGTGTTGGTTTGGGGTTTTTTTTTATTACTAGAAGTGTTGAATACTACTTGGGTTTGCATATGGATTCCTTCTTGACGATGTGTTTTTGAGGGCTGCCAGTGATCGGTTTCAGGTCATTTGATAGATGCTTAGAAACTGGCTTCATCACACTCTGGTTAAAAATAAGGACAGTGCAAACACCTTTCAGAGGTTTCAGTATATTCAATTCTTGTCTTTGTCAACCAAATCTTAATCTAATGAGACAGTTTGTGCTTTGATATGATTCTGTCAGATAGTCATGTTGACTTTGACATAAATATTTTTCCCGTCAGTGTCATGTGTAGCTTTAATGCCCCTTAAACATCTCTGCAATCAGTGAGACAATATAGTGATTCCTTAGCAGGTAAGGAGGGCTTCTGTCACTTTATGCAACCTTTTAAGTTTGATGCTATGTCTGTTTTCACTTAGTGGTGATCTGGGTTGGGTTGGTGGGAGGGAGTTGTTGTTAGATACCAAATGGTCCTGATCTGGATATCAAAGCATTAGTGAACAGATCAGACTGAAGCAACGCTGTGGCAGAGCAGACCAGCTAAAAGAGAACTGAAGCCAAGAACATCGGAAGTACTCATGGGAAAGCAGCTCTTGCATTGTTTTTGTTTTAATTCTTTTTTTGTGATTAAAGAACATACTTAATGAAGCAAAGGGAGTATATCACATGGGGCAGAAGTTTAGTGACAATTCCAATAAAGAAGAGAAATAAAGCAAGAATAATTATGTCAAGGTGTGGAGGACCATCACTAGATAAACAGTGAGGCCAATTTTTCTTTAAAAAATAGCCTTTTTTCTCCCCTACAGTCCAATAAATATGCATAGTGATGAACCAAGTAGGAATAAAAGGAATAAAAGAAGGCAGCAGAGCATCATATTAATGTTGAACATTAAGTTACGTGTATTTATAAGGTTGAAGAGCTGGTATAGATTCAGTATAGGCTAGATATTAGGACAATAATTTTTTTTATATATTTTCCCAGTCTGTCTTTAGGAACTACGATCATGACCACGATGGCTATATTTCTCAGAAAGACTTTGAAAGTATAGCTGCCAACTTCCCCTTTTTGGACTCTTTCTGTGTGCTGGACAAAGACCAGTAAGTTTGGAGATTTCTTTGTGTGGTTTTTTTTTTTCTTTTCCTCAATTTAAAAACTCATAAAAACCAAATATTGAAGAACCAGTGTCTCCCAAGCTTCTTGTGTCAGACATCTCACTTGAGGAACCAAAGATCACTGAAGGCTGAATTCTGTTCTCATTTAACTTCATATGCTGTAGTTGGTTCTATAAGCCCACCAAGACTGGAGTCCTGCTTTACCCGGTACTTTAAAAATAATTTCTGTAATAGCTTATCTGCTGGGACTGAGTCAATACCCTTAGAGTACTGTCAAATTACAGTGGAGATGCTGCGTCCAGACCAGGCATCAGACTGAGGAAACAAATAAGTTGTGTACAGGACAGGGGAAATGAGTATATGTAGCAGACAGAGGGTGACAAATATTCCAGGAGGTATATATAATATATATTTCCTAGCCAGTTGAGCTTGATAATTCATGTTTTCCAGAATCTCTTTGCCTGTCAAGGCTGGTGGTCAGCCATGGGCATGACCACTTGGTCTGTGTGAGCAGTAAGTCAAGATTCTTCATTTGGTGGCCTGGTCTGTGCTCTGGTACCATGAACACAGAAACCAAGGTCAGTGTTTGCTGTCTAATGAAGGATAAGAACTACAGAGGCTCTAAGGGGTGGGTGTTTTTTTTTCTGCCAGGACTGTTGCAGCTCTTTCAAAGTATGTCCTTTTATGTGCTGTATGCTTTTTAGAGTGAGAAAATTCTGAATTTTTCAATGACATGAGCAGTGATGGATCTACTCTACCTTTTTTTTTTTCCCCCCCTAACAGAGATGGTCTTATAAGCAAAGAAGAAATGATGGCTTACTTTCTGAGAGCTAAATCACAGTTCCAGTGTAAAATGGGACCAGGGTTTATTCATAACTTTCAGGAGATGACCTATCTTAAACCAACTTTCTGTGAGCACTGTGCAGGATTTGTAAGTATGTTTTTAATAACGGTTTACCTTAAATGATTTTTTTCTTTTTAACCCTTAAATGTAGACAGGGTGAAACTGGCTCCATGCATTCCTAAAGTCTCTTGGTCAAATATCTCATTGCATTCAGAGGCACAAAACATTTACTTATGTTGTAACTGTGCTATCCAGTTTTGTTTTAGTTGTTCCTGAGTACTGGCATTTGTAGGAATTACTGTTGCGGGGGGGTAATAAAATTATGTTAATAAAATTATGTTAGCTAAAGGATATTAGAGACTATATGAATGGCTTTACTGGGTTTATCTTGAGTTCTTTAATTTGGCTTGATTTCCCATGTAAACAAGCTCAATGGAAAATGAGTGTCTGGAACAGAGGATGTAAATGAAGCAAAAGCTGTTCTTTCTCAGGAAATTGCACATGGCAACTTAGCTATGTTCATAATTCTCTAAACGGCCATAACAGCTTTAATCCTTTCTCTACTGAATTAACAGATCTTCTAATTGGGTCAAGAAATCAAAAGTCCTCCTAGCAGTTCTATACAATAAGAATTTTTAAAAATTATTTGTTGGGTTTTTTAAAATTTGTTTTTTCTCTCAGCCATAACTTACCAGATGCCAATTATTAGAGTGCTCTGCATATAGCTGGGAAATTATTGGTTCTGTTGCCTCCTCCAACTTTTCCACTTCAAACCTAGTAAAGAAAAAGGAATTACTATGATTTAAAAGTTACTTTAATGCACACACTCCACTGAAATCAAATGTCCACATCTAGACAGCTAAAGCAGTAAGGGCAGAGGGCCATGTCCTCTGCTTATGTGTGGGCTGCGTTCAGGGTGTAAACTCAGACCATCATCCGTGCTTTCCAGACCAGATCTGCCTCTGTTATCAGCAGCAAAATCTCTAGCTTGTATTATGTGATCTTCTCCACTAAGTAATACTTCTTCATGGTTGAAAGAAACAGTAAGAGCACTTCTAAGTTCAAAAACGTGCCTCCTTTCAGACCATCTCTGATGTCCCTGCTCTTGTGCGTGCTCCTATCTTCCGCTCACCTCTTTTGCAATGAGTTGTTCTTGTTCAGATGCTCAGGGTCCTTATCACAACCACTGATCAAGGCCACGGGGAAGAAGGAATTCCACCTATTTCCACTAGAATTGCAAAAACCTCGGAGGCGATGGGGCCAGTGCTGCTTCAGGAGCATGCTGGTAGACTCCCAAGCTGACAGCTCCAGCAGACTGATGGGGCAGGGGTGGTCACTGCCCTGAGCCCCTTGTTTTGGGCTGCCTGCAGCCTCAGGAAGACGTCACTGCGTTCGTGACATTCAGTTCATGTTTGGAAGGCTTCCATAGCAGAGCAAGGCCCAAGGACTGCCCTGCAATGTCCACTCCACCACATATTTTTGCCTATATCAATTTGCTAATTGGCCATTGTTGCCTTTTTCACGTCTCCCTGATTACATCCAGTGCAGGAATACAAATGAGTAAGAGGTTGTACAGGAAGTGGAAATAAGGTCATTTTTCCTGTCAACTCATGAAGTCATTGGCATTGTCCTGTGGATGAGCTGAGCTGATAGGACAGGAACCAACTGCAAAATCCACTGCGTATTTGTTCTGCATTTCAGCACTGCTCATCCATGGGTGGAAACCTAATTTCAAACTGACACACTGATTCACAGTCAAAATAATGTGCGCTGACAGAGCAGCAGGATGAATTGATCTGACAGTGCAATGCACAGAGTATTCAATAAAATACGTGATTAAAATGGCATGAACATTAAAGGTCAAGCTGAAACCTAATGCTGTTAAGCAGCATGAGACTGATAGGCCCATGGCCAGCCGCAGTTCTGTCCCACAGCTTGAGTTGCAGCGCGTGGCAGGGTAGGCAACCAGCCATCCCGCTGAGCTTTATAATCTGAATTTGCACAGATCCTCTTACCTTGGAGCTGGCTCAGGCCAGCTCTGCAGCAAAGCTGTGTCAGACAGATTCAAAGCTTTAGGTCAGAATTTGTGACATGGCGCTTTGGCTAAGCTTTCACGGCTGTGTGTAACCACAACACTGGTGCCAAATTTGAGTAGGAGGAAGATTCAGAGCTAAGAAGGTGAGGAGAAAGCTCTGCAGTGGGAACAGATTAGAGCTTAAATGAAAGAAATAACAATCCATGACTCTTACAGTGATCCTGGCAAAAAAGACCTGGGAAAAAAAATCCTTGCTGCTCTTCCAGAGGGGTTGGGGACTCCATTGTCACTGTCTGACCACAGCAACTGCATTCACTGTGCATATATACAGCGTTAGCAGGAAAAAACAAGCAACAGGCTTTCCATGGACCCTTCTTCTACTGTTGTCTCTTCTGTTCATTTATCTACCATTCTTCCACCTTGCCTAATCTATTTCGCTTTCTCCAAGGCCCATTTTTCCTTTTGTGCAGTGTGTGGGACTTTTTCACCCAGATTCTTCGTATTCTGTTTATTTTACTCTTTCCTTTGTATTCTGAATGTTCTCCAGCTCTTCCTTTTTAACATTTCTTTAATGATCATATGGTGTGATCCTGCACACTACGAATGGATTTTTATAAATATGATGAGGAACCATGTCCCATTTCAGCTGCCTGATTATGGTCACCCTCCCTGGTCATGTCTCGAATTAGTTCAGGATGAATAAACACTGGAGTCACTTTTTCCTTTCATGCTAGAGCTAGAAAAACTGCCTCTTCCTCTCTCTGCCTCTTGGAGTGAAAATGCTGGTTTTTATAATGCTGTAGATACAGTGCTTCTGAGTGTAGAGATAACAATTTGCTAGGGAATTTTCCTACTTCCAAGCAATTCTGCTCAAGTTGCAGTGAAAGTTTCCCAGAAGTTTAGCACTTGGTTGTTATGTACTTTATCAAGGCCAGCTTCTGGGAGGAGGCCAAGATGGAATTTAGTGGCTTTTCTGCCGGTTTCAGTCTTCAACGTTTTTTTAATGAAAAAGGTCAGGTGGACAAATCAGATTGCTATGGCTAGGTGTGCTGCGGACCAGTTTAGAACCTAATTTTTATCCCCAGTAGTGTTTTCTCCTGCCGTGTCTCAATCGTCTGGGTTTTATTCATGTATCTGGAGAGTGGATGTACGCTGGAAATTCCCCCGCAGATACCATTAAGTGTGTCTAGAAGCAGAATGTGCTCTGCTGCGTTCAGTCAGCTTGATATGATGGCAATTTTTCACCCGTTCCTGGAAGCAAATGTCATCTGTGTCTCTACTTCTCTGATAATCCCACTGTAGTAGAAGTAAGGGGGAAGCCACACAAGTCTTATCACAATTAGAGGGGGAGGTCTGCCTAACAGGAAGGGTGTTAAGAGCAGTTGTATCCTGTTTGTGCTTTTGTAGCCATTGGTACTTCCTCATTGTGACCTTGTTTTCCTTCCGGCTTTCTTTTCTGATTCCTTGATGTTCTTTTGTCTTTCTTTGCAGCTCTGGGGTATAATCAAACAAGGCTACAAATGCAAAGGTAAATAAATATTGCATGGATTTTTCAAGCTATAGGTGGTGGGGTTTAGCACAAGTATGTAAATTGTGTTTTTTTTACTAAAATTGTATCAGTTCTTCCAAATTTTGCTTCTATGCTAGGTACTGTCCGTACAGTACAGTGGCTGCTGGTACGCTATGGAGTCTCACTGCATTAGGGGACATAGCACCCAGTGGGAACATAAATGTTCTCTGAGCTGAAGGTCCAGAACAGCCCCTGACTCCATGAGGTGTCACTTTCTACGAGCAAAGACCTTGTGTCTTGGAAGACCAAGTGTCCTCATCCTAACACCAAGACATCCTGAAATGTATCTCCTAAGGCTTGGGGTCAGGAAAAGGTCTGCTGGCAGTGCTGTCATGTACATCCGCATGCCTGTAGAGAAGCCTCATGGGCCTTGCAATGCAATAGTGGCTGAACTAGAAATAGAGAAATATTTGATTCCTAGACTGCCCAGCAGATCTCATTGCAAGATCTTCTGCAGACATTCAACTTCAAAAATATCCTAGAGCTCTTACAGCCCTCTCTGTTGCTTTCATAAAATGTTTAATTGCTTATCCAGTACGTGCACCATATTAAGCAGGTCAGACCAAGAATGTAGTGGTCCTCATTGGCTTTGAAGACCTGGACCTATTTATTTCTCAAGCAGCCCAACTCTGGCTGAAGGGCACTCTGCTTTTCACAGCTGTAGTTGCATTTCAGTTGTTCACAAGGAACACTCACACTGGGGCTTCATAGTTGTGTTTATATGCACTCTTTTCCCCTAGTCTTACACTGGCTCCCAGGGGAAGGTGAAAAATTGGCAGGATTGGTTTTTAGGATATACCCTGTCTCCCTCTCCACTCATTAACATCTCTGCCTCAGAGAGGGGTGAGGTAAATGCCCATGGCTGAACCAAAATATGTAATTCAGCTGCTCCTGATTGTTGTCATTTGAGAAGCTATGAAAAGTACTAGTTCACTGGAAGGATGAGGGAAGGCAGGCTTTGTCACAGCAGCCCTGTAAACTCAATTTGAGATCTGAAAGCTGAGCTCTGTCCTGCATCATTGCTTGTAACAGTGGTTCAGCAGAGACAGAGCAAAAGTGGTTCTGTGGAGCGAAAATTATAGGTAACGGACCATGAGAGTAAGAGAGCAGAGTTGCTCACTCAGATCTTAAAATGGTCAACAAGTGTAACAGTGCCTGCCCTTTGCTGCAGCAGCTGCCAGCTGCTCTGCATGGCATCATCACCGGGGCACTGCACCCATTCTGGTTGATTTCTGCCTCTGAGCACAGAGCTGCCATCTTCTGACACTGTCCTAGCAGGGGGAGGGAGGGGGTTTCTCTGGTCAGGTCTGCTGCTTACCCCAGCAGCATGGGAAATAATGAGATAGAGCCAGACTGTGTGGCCTGCAAGAGGTGAAAGAGGTCCTTCTATGGCCAAGAGAGATCTTTATTGTATTGGGTGGGGGGGGTGGTATTACCTTTAGGGCAGACGAAACCACAGCTGAGGAGGTACTTCTGCATTAGTCATATGAACAAGGTGACGGGAGAAACCAGAACTCTCACCCATCATGCTAGAGCTGCTGAGCTGAATGGTTCTTTTAGCAGAGAGTTACAAACACAATACTTTGGCAATAGCTCACCTAGAACATAATGTTAGGTCATGGGGCAGCAACAGAGAAACAAGGGAGATGGATATTTCCAAACAAGGACAAGGGACACAGAGGAGAGAGAGCCTGTATTTAGGGCACACATCTTCCACTCTTTGGCCCTTTCTTGCAGATAAAATCCATACTGTGGTCACACTTCGGGTAAATGTACCTAGTGATGAGTGCATCTGTAGTGAGATGCAAAGTTCAGCAGAGGCTGGGTGTGCAGGCACTCAGCCCGTTTCATCCAGGCATGTGATACGTGTCCACAGAGCTTACTCTGTGCTGATGTTGCTTGTCGAGCTACTTAGACTAGTTTTAACATACTGACCTCCAGCTGTCCTTCCAGAGGTTCAGAGTATGGACCCTCCAGTGTCTTCTGACCATGTGTGTTTACTATAATGGGCTCTTCTGGGTCTAGTGGAAAAAAAACCAAAAACAAAACCACAAACTTTTTGGGAGACTCACACCATGGAGCAGAAGCTTTATGCACAGTATGCACAGGATCATACCAATAATTCTGGGTCTCTTCCTTGAGACTAATTTCTGATGAAAACATCATCCCCCTTTTCTGTTCTGCTGCCAGATTTTTATTAACAGCAGCCATGAAAATGATCCATTTTTTGTAATGCCCTTCATGCCAAATGATCCATTTCTGTAACTCCCATCTCACCTTCTGCCAAAGTATTTGTTCTTGCAAATTCCCTCCTGGTATCTGTCTGCCCAGCCATGAGGGATTACCAGATAGTTGTGGCTTTCCAGTTGGTGACTTGACAGTTCCTTTCTTTACAGATTGTGGTGCCAACTGTCATAAGCAATGCAGAGACCTACTTGTGCTGGCATGCAGGAAATTTTCCAGAGGAACCTCAGTAGGCAGCAACCACGGCTCTCTGCCGAGCAGTCCATCTCTGCCTCCAGGTGAGAGCACTTTTGTTCCTATTTTAAAACATTTCTGGAATCCTCTTTAACAGCCAGCATTCTTGCTGCCATGTTTAATTTTTCCTTTGTATGAATGCACAGAGGAGCACATATACTTTCCACTGCACTGTAGCTCGTGTTCAGCATTTGGATTACAACCTCCCTTTCTGCAGCGATGGCCATAGTCTCCTTCCTGGGGCTTACTGTTCTCTATACCAATGCCCCTATCCCAGCTGAAAAGAAATCTGGACCAGGCTGCCCAGAGAGGCTGTGGAGTCTCCTTCTCTGGAGACATTCAAAATCCACCTGGAGGTGTTCCTGTGTGACCTAGTCTAGGTGATTCTCCTCTGGCAGGGGGGTTGGACAGGGTGATCTTCAGAGGTCCCTTCCAACTCCTAACATTCTGTGAAATAAAATTAGTTAATGAATTTGTACTTCTCCTTATAAGCCAGTTAGGGTAGGGAGACATAAGGTACAATTCTAGCTCTGCCTTAGCCCCTGAGTGTGCAGATGGAGGGAGAAGGAAATGTGCACGCACACAAGGCCAGAATCAGTTTTTAAGCAGCATATGGATACTGCTAATTATACCACTGTGTCATAGAGGGGGTTACCTCCCCCCTGCCCCAGGCTTAAGTTATACAAAAAGGAAGCAAAGAGGTTGGAAAGGGTCCAGAGAAGGGCCACGAGGATGACCAGAGGACTGGAAGACCTGCCGTATGAAAAAAGAATGAGAAAACTGTGTTTCTTCAGCCTTGGGAAGAGAAGGCTTAGGGGGGGACCTTATTACTGTGTACCAGCACATAAAGGGTGGCTACCAAGAAGATGGAGACTCCCTTTTCACAAGGAGTCACATGGAGAAGATAAGCGGTAATAGGCACAAGTTGTTTCTTCTGGGGAAGAATCCGATTGAACTCCATGAGAAATTGTTTTACCATGAGATCAGACATTGGAATAATCTCCCAGGGGAAGTAGCAAATTCCCCTGCATTGGTCAGTTTTAAGAGTCAGCCTGACAGGTTGCTGACTCATCTCATTTAAACTATACTTTTACCTTGAGAGGTTGGACTAGATGGTCCTTGTGGTCCCTTTCAACCTGGGATTCTATGATTATCTTTCTGTAAAGATTTTTAAGTAGAATATTTAAAATAAACAATTCCACCTTCTCTTTCAGTCCAAGATGAAGTGTTTGAATTTCCCAGTGTTGCTGCAGAACACCAGGACCTTGATGGCAGAGCAATCACCCTCGTCACTGGCTCTTCGCGGAAAATTTCGGTGCGGTTGCAGAGGGCAACCACCAGCCAAGCAACACAGACAGAACCCCTGTGGCACGAGCCAGGCTGGAATGATTCAGGTTCCCATACCTTCCCCAAAATGAAGTCCAAGTTCCATGGCAAAGCTGGGAAGAACAAAGGCTTTGCAAAGTGGGAGAACGAAAAGCCCAATGTGCCGGCTGATATGGAGCTAGAAGCCGAGGCCCCACAACACATACAGGATCACAACGGAATAGAAACCCTCCCAGAAAGACAAGAATCTGAGGTGAGTTACAGAAGAAGTCAAGACAGTTTAAACTCTGCTAAAGTCTGAGGTCTCATAAGATTGTTTTATGAATTTCAGGATGATTTTTCATTCAAATTTGCTATTGCTTCTTGCACAAGAGTTACTTTCAGGAGAATGCCAAGTCATCCATAGAAACCTATTTTCTACACTGCAGTGTGCAGTTACTGTAACACCATAATTGGGGGTTTGGCTCTTGGTGTCAGTATGTGCTTTTAGAAGTTGGGCACTTTTATTTTTGAAAATCATTAAAATAGCCTGGTAGATATTGGAACAAATTCTGTGCTGTCTTACCCTTGCAACACATGGTTCAGGGCTCCATGTTAAATTCACAAGAACTAGACTTCTGATACCAGTCCCGGCTAGGGCAGGATACTGGTCTGAATTTTGTTGCTATCACTCATAAATTTTATACTTCCAAAAATCTCATGCTTTTATTGACCATCTTTGCTAGCATGTAAGTGCCTATTTTCTTTTGGTTCCAGGATAGCTGATTGCTCACCCTGCAGCACAGAAAAATGCAGATGACAACTGTAACACAGCAAGCGTGGATGGACTGTCACAGACCGCATCTGGCCATGAGAAGTTATCCTGTACCTCGTACTTTTAAAGCCAACCTGTTTTCTTAGCTGAAAGGTGTTACAAAGCACTATTTATTTTCTCACGAGTAAGGCATTTGGATGAACATTGCATGGACACAGCAGAACAGATCTCTGCACTCAGTGTTTTCTCTTGTATGACTTTTGTGGAAACTTCATCTACAAGCCAGTGAGGATATATTTGGCCTCCTTTAAATATACTGCATCATTTTGGTATGTCTGCCAGCAACAACAATGGTGAGGACAGAAGCCAAGCCATCTAAGTTTGTTCAATAACGCTCCTTTTCCAGAGGCTCATAATGATGTTTTAAGGAAAGAAGTAGGTGTGCATGTTGATTAAATCTCAAACAAAAACCTTTCACAAAGTCGTCTATGCTGAAATCCTTTGCACACCTGGGGTTTTGAATTTTGGCCGTGTTTACATTGCTACAGTGAGCATATTGGTGTTGAGCACAATGGTCCCAGTTCCCAGACTGGGGATCCTTCAGACAGGCAGCATGTGGCTAAGACCAAAGGAATTCCAAGACACTATGCATATGTCTGGTTACACTGCGATGGAGAGAGGTCCTCTCTGCCAGCGCTGATTATGGTAAAATTAGCACGTAATAAACACCTTAGTTTGAAGAGTGTGTGTATGTACATGCATGTGATATGTTTTCCTCTGGTTATCAGCCTGCACACGTTAAGACTAAATGTACTGAAAAGCAAGCTCGAGATTAGCAGTGTGCTAACGTAGGATGTAGCACCCAGATCTGTCATGGCCTGAGAAGCAGGTTGGAAGTGGGGTTTCTCAGAAGCACTGAGTTACTTAAGGAGCACAGCCCTCTTCTGGAAAGAGAGAAAAACAAACCAAACCAGCAGAATGCTCAAACCTGAAAGGTGCATTCCAAATTGGCATACATGTATTATTCTTCTTGCCCCATCTACCCACAAAAATAGGTATTAGTATGGGGAGTACACACTCTGAATTAAAGCAACCTGATTATAAGATTTCCTACAAAATTCCAGTTATTGCATCCTTCACCAAGTTAAAAACCCTCAAGACCAGAGAGTACTGTC